TTTTTTTGTGTGGAGACTTTAATATTGACCTGGGAAATAAAACAGATTCAAATAACATCAGCACATTTACAAATTCATTGTGTAGTTTAAATCTTTATCCATTAATATCAAAACCAACAAGAATTACAACTCATAGTGCTACAATAATCGATAATATTTTCACAAATGTAACAAATGGGGATGTGATGGGAGGTATTTTAACGAATGATTTGAGTGATCATTTACCAGTTTTCATGATTTAGAAAAATGATCAAAGCATTACAAAAGAAATCACAATTAAGAAAAAAACAATAAACACATCAACAAAAGCAATGGACAAATTAAAAGATGATTTACATAAACAAAGCTGGAAAGACGTGTATGTTGATGATGTGAACAGATCATATGATGAGTTTATGAATATTTTGGGAGCTCTGTATGAAAAGAATTGTGTGCAAAATAATTGTACAAAGAGAAATGTTGTTGACCAACCGTGGATGACGAAAGGGTTGAGAAATGCTTATGAAAAAAAGAATTATTTGTATACATGTTTCTTGAAATTGAGAACACAAGAGGCCGAAAAGAAATATAAGAAGTATAAAAATAAATTAGTAGCGATTATAAGGAAACACAAGAAGGAATATTATAGTGATTTATTAAATAAAAGCAATGGTGATATGAAAGCTACATGGCGAGTAATAAATAGTGTTCTGAAAAGTCATAAAGCAAAAACAGGTATTTCACAATATTTTTTGAAGGGTGATGATGAAATCCATGATGAAAATAAAATAGTAAATGGATTTAATCATTATTTTGTGAACGTTGGATCAAGCTTTGCAGCTAAAATACCAAAAGTAGACAATAATGTGAACCATTCAGTTTTAAGTTGTGGCAACAGTATTTTTCTTAATGGAACTGACAAAGAAGAAATAATGAATGTTGTAAAAAATCTTACAGATAAGAGATCAAAAGACTGGGTGGACATGGATATGATGTTTGTAAAGGACATAATGAGTTATGTTATCGAGCCGTTTGCATATATTTGTAATTTATCATTTTCAAAAGGAATATTTCCAGACAATATGAAAGGTAGTTCCTCTCTTTAAAAATGGTGATAAATGTGTGTTCAATAATTATAGACCAATATCCTTATTACCACAGTTCTCAAAAATTCTAGAAAAACTATTTGTGACCAGATTAGATAAATTTATTACTAAACAAAACATTCTAAGTAGCAGTCAGTATGGGTTTAGAGCAAAAAACTCTACATCAATGGCTCTCATGGAAATAATAGAACAAATAACTACTGCTGTCGATCAAAAACAGTATTGTGTTAATATTTTTGTTGATTTTAAAAAAGCATTCGATACTATTGACCACACTA